ATTATTATTTATTWAGGTATTAAACAGTTTTACGTCAATGTTACCAAAGAAGAATGGAAGTTTGACACTTTGTGTGATTTGTACGACACTCTAAGTATCACCCAGGCTGTGATATTCTGTAACACACGTCGTAAGGTAGAATGGTTGACTGAAAATATGCGATTGAAAACATTTACTGTATCAGCTATGCATGGAGAAATGGATCAACGTCAACGTGAGCTTATTATGCGTCAATTCCGTTCTGGCTCTAGTCGTGTTCTAATCACCACTGATTTGTTGGCAAGAGGCATTGATGTACAACAAGTTTCTTTGGTTATCAACTATGATTTGCCGTCCAATCGTGAGAATTACATTCATAGGATTGGACGTTCTGGCCGTTTTGGTCGTAAGGGAGTCGCCATTAATTTCATCACTGAAGACGACAAACGAGCGATGAAGGATATTGAATCGTTTTACAACACTCACGTACTTGAGATGCCACAGAATGTGGCTGATCTGCTGTAGACATGCTTTGTATCTGTGAGTAGTTACTTTGAAACAAGTGAAATACAGCGTTCAAAAACGATTCAAATTTCTTTTTTTTTTTATATATAAATTCTTATATAAAGACAAAAAACCAAAAAAAAAAAATAATCAATTGAAAACTATCCAATATTTTATCTTAAGCAGTTTTTCCTTTTCATTTTACTGTGTTTGAGTGACATGACTATTTCAATTATCCAATTTACAAAAATGATAAGTGCACATTTTAATACTTGGTATATTTTGATTTTAAATAAAAATTATTATAAAATTTTCATAGCTTCATTGTACTCTTCCGTTTTATGTTTCCTTCTTGGTTGTTAATAGAATGTTGTCTCATAGTCGGCAGCTTTTTGAACATAATATGTTCCTAAATGTTTAATGTTTTATTTAAGACAAAGAGTGGCGGTTGTTAATATAAAAATACCTACAAATTAATGGAAAATAATTTAATAACATAATGATTTTTATTTAAAGTTACCAGTTAAGTACTTCTTAAGCAGTGTAATATTTTTATGGGTGTTACCTTTAAATATAACATCAAATGAAAAAGTTGGCTCGTAAAATGTAGTTAATAATGTATGGACATTGAACTCATTCAATTTGGTGACATTTGTTTTGGGAGTTATTAATGAAAAAAGTTGTGCACCATTGTAGAATAACAGACAATTTTTAAATTGTTATTGGCTAAGTTAAGTTAAGAATTTTAATCTAGGTGATTATTCAACTAAGATTGTATGTTTAGAAATCTTATTTGTATGGTGTTGTATAAAAAAAATACAATCTTTTCAAATTTTTTCTTAAGCCTAGATTTAATGTATGATTGGCGTAGAACGTTATWAATTTTTCAAAAACATTTTACTCGTTTCTTATAATGAAAATATCATATTAAAACGTCATGCATTTTTACTTTGAGCTTCAGAAATATGCTATATATTTGATTTAAATTTACTTTTTTTTCATTACAGAATCAAGAATTTGGGTCATCTGGTTTTAAAATATTGTCTATATATAATTTGCATCTAATCTAGGGTTTAGGACGTTTAGGTATTAAAAGCAAAAATGTTAGTGATATTGAAGCATTTTTTATATGTTAATAACACATTAATTATTGTATATAACCCTTACTTTTATCGAATGAAGTGCCAGCATGTTTAAGTATTGCATGGATATTTTTTAGTGACTGCCTAGCCTCAGCCGCTGCTCCACCCTCGACCGGTTTCAACGTCTTTTCATCTAGGCCTAAAGAACCAGAAACATACAACACATTGCCCGCCTGCACCGCCTGACTATGATAAAAAGTAAAATTCAATATTAATTTTTTTTTTTCAAAATGGATAAATTGTTTTCTTATACAAATTTAATTAATAAAAATAAAATATTGTAAAGGTTAAAATACTTACTTATAAGCTCCAGGAAGTTTTGGAACCAACGGGGAGTTTATTATTTTTCTTATTACACTCATAATAGTTATTCTTATTAATTATGTTCTAAAATATATCAATAAGTTATTTTTCTACCAATCACTTCAATATTCTAATAAAATGTTAACTCAACCTCCTGTTAAAGATAGTACTAATAACAATCAGATTTATATTAAGTTATTAAACAATAAATAGATACACGTTAACTTCAATGTACTAATTAGGTTATAGGTAATGAGGTCATTAATATTATTTCAGTAACCTAGTTGCTATTAGTTTTAATTTATATTCTCATTTCTCAGTAAACAGAAATGCAATTATTTCTGTTTCCTTTGTTTGGTATAACTATTGTTAGTAATAATATTTATTTTTAAATACTGAGAGATAACTTTTTTAGTTTTTGCATTATGATAATATATTATAACATCATTTTATATTTTCATAATCATTGCATAATAATATTCTAATGATTAATTTATTTCATGTGATTTGTRTGGGGTGTTCAGTATTTTTATTATATTTATATTTGTGTATTTTTAATTTTCTGTGGTACATTTATTCAAATGTCTAATAATAATTAATTATTAGTCGTAATTGGGAGAATTAATATTTCAAGTTTTTGCACTTTTTTATAACTGATAGAGAACATGATTTTTGTATATAATAATTTTAAAATTGAGTTACATTATTGAGTGTTTTTCTAAAACTAAAAGTTTGAAGTAGTTTAATAAGTATTTTTTTWAAAAAAAAAAGAAATTGTTCATTATGCAATTTACTCCTCGTTAAGTTCTTAGAAATTTTTTTCATTTTTTACTTGTTTTCCTCAAATTTGTATGTACCTATTTTATATAAATTTTTTTTTCGTTTTGAAACCAGTTAGGGTAAGAGATAAGCATGTGTAATATATGCATGATAATAAAAAAATATAAATAAAAAATGTGTTTTATTTGTTCATATGTCTTGATGAGTTCTTGAGCTCATTTAAATTTTATACATAATATGAATAATATTATGTTATTATAGATAAGTTTTCTTTCTTTTGTCAACATTTTAATGTTTCATATTTATTGATCCCCCTGCWCCAATACATGTTATTTATCTAAATTAAGGTTATTTTAAGATAACATTTTAGTTTTGTATTTTAAATGACAATATTTCATTCATAATAGGTGTTGATTTACTATTATGAATATTAATAGTTTTATATTGCATTATTTTATATTATGCTTTATATTCTATATCTTAAATAATACACGATACAGCTTAAGAGCATTTTACACAAGTCTCTTTTTGGCCGACCACTGGTATCCTAAAAGTATCATGCAACTAGAATTACATAGCATTAAATACAAGTGTGTCCTAGTTATAGATAAGAATTACATTAATTGTCCTACTGCCCAATTAGATTGTCTCCTCTGGTATGCTCAGAAAGTGTCCTATAGTGTAATAGTTCTAAATGTATGGTAGGTAATATGAGATTTTTTTTTTAAAAGTATTTGTTACAAAATCTTATAGGTTATAGAAGTATATCTATAAATTTTTCAGTTTTACAAATATTGCATGTTTTTAAGGTTTCATGAGAAATAAGTAGAAAAATATTCAACAACAAATAGTAAATACTACTATAATTTTTTCAGAATATGTTACATTTGTCTATTATAATTTAGATGATATCAGTTTAAAAAAATTATCACCTGTGCCATTAAAGATCTTAATTGAACTAAATTTAAATAATAATAAACTTCTATTTCATACAGTTTCAGAGGATAATTTAAGTCATGAGGAAATGTTAGTGTTAATCCAAAGTTATTATTAATAATCATTTGTATTTTGCATTTTAATTTAGACATGGTAAGTTTAGAAAACGAAAATGATTAGTACCTAAATAAAATAAAAAAATAATAAATACATTCAMTGTTATTGTTTGGTGATTATTTTAATCTTAGATTAAAAGATACTTATATTGTAAGTTTAACATACAACATGAAGAAGGCTGTCCAATTTGGTGACAAATGGTACTGCTTGAGAACACCATCCCCAGAATTTTTGTAGGAACTTTAGTTTTGATTTGTTTGAACTTTATGGTATAAATAATGTTTGGTTTTATATTTTTGGATGAAATCATGTGATGTATCATGATTGGTTTTAAATTTGTACAAAAATAATTTTTTTTATAACAACAAAGGGGACCTATCTCGAATGTTATTACTTTATTTTATCTCAGTCTTAACTAATAGCAATTTTGAGAAAAAAGCTACTAAACAAGTTTGATGAGCTTTCATATATTGTTATCTATTAGCAAGTGGAAATTGTACTCAGATATGTGCTGACTAATGAAAGATATAACAGGTAATTATACTCATATCTATTTTTTATTTTTATATTTTAATATTTAAATCCTATAAAATAATTGAATATCATTTCAGATACTAATTTATCCATCCACTTCAAATATTTTACTTTTCTATTAATTGATTGATTTACCAAATCATTAATTTAAAAATTGATATCATWCTTTTGCGATTTTGAAAAATGGGAATAAATGTAACTTGTTACATTCCTTATAGTAATATTAGGTAATTAAACAGTTGTTAATTGCAAACAATTTAATAACAATTAAGATAATTAAGAAAAAAAGATCCCATATAATTGTATTGCATAGYGTTCATTTTTCCTTTTTTTGTTGATAAAATAGACATTTGATTCATGATTAAAGGTATATGTATTTTTAATTATGATAGCAGCTCATATCCCTCACCATATCAGCAATAATGGTTCTTAACATTTGCGGGAAAAATTCTATGAATAAAGTAATTTAAAAGAAAAAAAAGTGACGACTGACCAATAATTTTCAAATTTTTCATTTGTATAAAAATTAAAAGTGTGGTTTTCAAATAAAGCTACGTCCAAGACAGCTTCCAAAATACTTTACATACATTTATTCAAATACTTTATGACTGATATTTTTAAATTTTTGATGAACCCATTTAAATATTTATCATTTTGATAATAAATGATCAGTTATTACTTACTTAATCAGAATTAAAAACAATATATAGGTAAACAAAGTATAAAAAATATTTATTTATAAGWGGCAGCTTTGTTACAAAAATGATGAATTATTTTTGTTTTATAAGGACATGAAATACCTTAGACATAGAGCAATATAATTAATAATAATAAATAAAATGTTATAAAAATGAACTGATTACAAGTTATATAATCAACGGTTTCTTAGCTAGGTACTGGCGGTGAACACTAAAATATTTTTTTGGCGTGATCATTGTCTTTGGRCATATTGACATATGTTCCAACATTTCTAACATGTTTAACAACATTGCTAGGCTCTCTATTCAAGAGAATCAGTTCGTCATTCATTGAATTTATATAGTTTATTAATTGTTTGTATTTTTTATAATATGAGCGCTGCTGTTCCTTACAAACTTCTATGTGAATCATTTGTTTTGAATAATGTGATTTGGTGGCCATGATTTCAGCAGATTTTTTAACGACCATGTTTTGAAACTCTTGTTGTGAAATTTTGATCGACTGTTTGGATTCAATCTAAAAGCAAACATCAATAAACCGATTACATTTTCYCCACAAATATATTGAGATAAAAAAAAATTCCTACCAATAAACATAATGGCCATTCTGTCATCTCTTTAGGTAGGTTATTGTGTAATATTTTTTTGATAAACGCTGATACTTTCTTAGCATTTTCTATGTCATCGCTTTTGATAGTGGGTGTTGATACATTGCTGTCTTTGATGTTACCCTTACCACTATCTGTACTTGAGCTTTCACTGTTTTTATTGACTGGAAGTTTCCTTACATCACAAGAGGATGGAAAMATTTTGTCACTGCTGTTGTCTGGATTAGAATTCTTAGGGTCATTTCTTAGCTTATCGATGGTGCAGGACTGAGTCTCACTTTTGCTTTTCTTGGTTGGAATATGCACATTCAATTTTTTCACCTGTTGTTTTTTTATTCCTTCTGGCAGACCTTTATAATTGCCATTGTGTTTCATGATAAAAATTGTGTTTTTGAAATGTTTAATCAAACAGTAATGATAAATTATTTTTTATTACTAACAAATAATAAAATATTCTAATAATTAAACAATTWTACCACAATATTTTTAGTTTAATTACGCTTTAACATATTCTGTGATCATACATGAATACATGATACATCATACTAAGCATGACAAATCTATTTAGTAAAATATTTCAATAAATCTATTTAGTCATGATACTAAGCACGATTTAAGATAGTATCAGTATGACAGTATGGCACGGACTAAGATATATCTTAGTCCGTGCAGTATGGTCACTTTTTGTATTTAACATGTGTTCTTATGGGGGACAGATTTGCAACATCTGTTGGAAAACTAGTGCAGCCGRCTGAGACATAATTCCCATTATCCCATGTTTCTAAAAATGAATTGTATATTTTTGTCATAAACATGGGCACACCATGGTGGAAAATATCGATTCAGATCACCCATCACTGGCCACTGCACCATGGGTCTAAAAATGGGAGGGGGGTGAGAAAGAGGGGCAACTGCCCCTCCAGATATTTTATTGAGGGGGAAATAGTATCGTTTTGGCCTCCCCCCTTTAAAAGTTTTAACTTATAATTCAATTTATATTTTATCCTAGAAAAATTAAACAGCATAATGGATTATATAATAATTAATAATAATAGATTTATCGTTTTGATTTTTTGAATGCGTCAGTTTATTATTTATTAATAATATAATTATAAACAGAGCGCCTTCATATCATAATACGAGGAATTGTAGACAGATGACAGTGATGGTATATGGCTGGTTATTACCACAATAGCTCAATGCGAAGATTATTATCGTSTTTATTTTTAACATTTATAAGTGTAATGGCCCATGGTACCAGTTATTAACCATTATAATATGAGGTAATATAATGTGAAGAGAACCCATCAAATGAGGTTATTAAAAAAGTAGGTATATGTATAATATGTAACATACAGTTTAAATGAAGCAGAATTAAATAGTTAAAAGGAAAGTTGAGTATTTTAAATAGAATGTTAAAAAATAGTATTGAAAAAGATACATTGGAAAATAGAGTAGATTTAAAAAAAAATAATAATTTAAAAAGTGGATTTGAAAATTATAATAAATGTTTAATTATATTTTTGTCGATTCCTACCAATACGCATCAAATGAAAGAAGTTTTGTTTATTAAAAAAACTGAAAACATACCTACGACTTACAATGGGTCAAACAAGATTGAGTAGTATTGGTACGCTTTATATTGAGAGAGATAGACAAGTTAACATTGATCAAGTAATTACAAATTTGATGAAGGTGCACCCATTCGTGGTCGTCGACTTTTGTTAAAATAAAATTGCATATAGGTATAAGCTTAATTTTTAATACCTAATTTTGTTGAATCTTATATCTTTTTATCAGTTTTATAATGTAAAATAAAAAAATAAAAATGAGTTTTAAGTATTTTTTTATTTATTAATTTACCAACGCAATTTTAGTGTTACTACTGCCTGGAACTTAAAGGGCCCCGGATGTATTTCTTCAGAAGGGCCCCCATACATGTTATTTCATAAAATGATAAAAAATGCTCATAAGTAGTGAAATATTATATTTTTAATAATATCGGGGCCCCTCGACATAAATACCGCTGGGGGACCCGGATGCGTTCGCGGCCTAGCGGCCATGGCCAGCTTGATACTGGTGATACTGGTGATATTATTATATTAATATTATGATCGATGATGAATTAGAAATTTGCGCATGCTCATAATGTATGAATTTTTAATACCTAGTTGGCGTATATACCTATAATATAGATGAACTTTCTTAAAGCCTAAAAGGTATACGCATAAATTCAAAATTAGGGATTCCGATATAATATGTCGTCTACCCGAGTGGCTGAGTATACCTACCCTCCAACACACCACTAAGGTATTACATCTTTAATCGTGGTACATGTGGACTAAGATAATATTATAATGGATTAGAAACAGAGATTTTAAATAACATTAAATCATATTAAATAATATTATTTAATATATCTGATTGGAAACGAATATGTAGCTTTTCAGTGGTCTCGAAAGTATGTACATAAGGCAATTGCGGAATGTCGCAATGTTCATCGTTTCAATKGTTAGCTWATTTATATTATTYGCTATAGATGTGAAATGACTGGAGTTGGAGTGGTGTACCTACTGGTGTCCGTGTCCTCGTCTCCTGAATAGGTGGTCGACGTCTTCGAGACAGACAATTAGTAGGGGAAGGCGGGGCAGTACCGTATGGTTAAGCTTCCATGGCTTATAAATCATGCAATTTTTAACGAAATTAAATTTTTTAAACTGGTATATATAGAAAAACTTATGGTCTATAACTTTTATTCGAAACTTTTTTCTATTTTTTTTTT